GCATTGCCTATGCGACGCATTGCTGCTCCGCTGAGCCTTGAAAAGTTGAATCTCAAAGTTAAAAATAAATAACATCTTGTTGAATCAGCTTTTTTAAACGTGTTCGTTGAATGAACGGTTCAATGATTCGCTCAAAGTCCGTTGTCATAAAAATATGCGCGCTGAGTGAAAGTCTTTCAATGCGCATATATGTAGACGCTGTTTAGTTTCGGTTACATTGGTTACTGAAAATGTCCTCGTTTTTGTCCACATCGTAAACATTATTTATATAGCAACAAAAACATATAATTAAATAAATAAATAAATGGCGGTAATACCGCATATCGCGCTATTGAGCCACTCAACATTACCGCAAGGGAAATTCCATAACCGCGACAGCCCTAGTCTCCAGTATATGTGCATTATTCACTGGATGCTCAGGCACATTAATGAAACTAAAGATAAAGTGAAACGAGGCAGAATTGAACAATCATCTCGTTTCGACATGATAACAGACGTCCAAACCCAGAGCCACAAAACACCCACGAGACTGGAGTAAAATGCAGCATTTGATGTGCTTTCCAGTGAAGTCGAGGCTTCAGAAGATCCGGCTGCCGTCTGGAGAAGACCAAGCATTACAGATGTTGATATCATATTCGATATGTGCTGAAAATGCCCTGAACGTATTGATTTATGTACATGCGCATCCGTCCGGCCCGGTCTGGGAAAACCCCGACGCAACACTCACTGGAGAAAAGACTTCAGAAACAATTTCAAACTCTCTATTGATCCCGCTGAAGTCAGTGGATATATATTCAGCGTCCCAAAGGCACATTTTCTGTGTCTCTTAAATGCAAACGGGGAAGAAAGGAGTGAAAGAAAATAAAAGACGGTGCGCGAAGGCTGAGCGTCTGGTGAATATGAAGCTATTGATCCGAACACTGCGCTGGAAACACGGGAATGATGGATGCGCTCGCCGACAGCACTGGACAAACCTGTTAGCTAATGGCCACCGAAGACACTTATCCAGGCGGTGTTTCATCAAACAGCGCATTACAAGAGTCTAATATTCACACGGGGAGATTCAGGAGTGAAGCGTGGAGTCGTGAGCACAGAGGATCACACACAATCACCATGGGGAAATCTCCGAGAAAAATGTGAAAAATATGATACGCAGATGAGTTTATCGAGGCATCATCTTTCCATCTCTTTTAATTCCTTGGTTTTATTTTAATTTGGTTGTAAAGCATTTTGAATTACCATAGTGTAAGAAATGTGCGATATAAATAAACTTGCCTTGGTTCGGCGGGGCGTTGGGCGAAAAATAGACGTCACTTTCATATGAATCTACGGAGAACGGAAAAGCCTCTGGAAAATGATCAGGAATATTCATACTTGAGAAAAAGTACAGATACCTTACAGCAAAAATTACAATTTCAATACAACTTCAGGAAAAGTCGTAGAGTATCTGTTTTTATTTTACTGAACAAAAGTGCACCTCGACACCTCAGAGACATGCCCGCGAACATAAACAATTGATGTGGAAGATGAGAAATCATGTTTAATTTCTAAAAATTTAAATTAACCTGAACACCTGAATATTGCGGTAACTAAAGGTAGACACAACAGCCTCTTAAATGTCTCAAGGCCATAAGTAAACCAATATTCATCAAAAAAGATATCATCAATAAAGTGGATAAATAAAATAATGTTAAGTCAAATTAAATAATCCAAAGTTGCTCATCTCATAAATCAACCACCTGCGATTCACAACTATCTGCTAAAGCACTCACGTTCATGTAAAGCAGCCTTCATGAGAGCAAAGCACACGATGCACTTCGACAGCGATATAAGTGTAATAAACTAATGCAGGAAAAGTTAGTGCCATGCTAAATATAACGTGTAATTGCAATACTCATCACAAATGTATTGGAGTAAAAAGTACATTTACTTATTTCAAAATGTACTGAAGTAGAGAGTAAAAGAGTCACCTGTGCTGCTGCTGCTGTATAGAGTCAGATATTCACATATTGATATTGGCTAAAACCTCTATAATGTTGTGTCCTTACATCCCGAAAGACTGCCATTTAAGTCTATAGTTGGTTTGTGTTGCCCACGTCTCAGCACGGCTCAGCTCTCAGCCAATGAGAATCTCTGCGTGTGATGTGACGCACAGGTTACGCTTTATTTCTAAATTTACATATTTTCTCACGTTTTTGTGTTTTGAAGATGATTAGAGCATTTCACTAGGTTTGAAATGAGACGCATTTTCGCAGAAATAGTAGTTTTCATTTAAAATAAAAGCTCCAGTTTGTATCTCTTGCAAGCAAGGTTATAATCGTTAACGAAAACTAACGAAAAAACGAAAACTAGATGGGAAAAAACATTGTCGTTAACTGAAATAAAAATAAAAACGAGCCATTACAAAAAAACTATAACTAACTAAAACTGTAATGTGTGTTTGCAAAACTAACTAAAATAAAATAAAATTATAGAGCAAATGTCCTTAGTTTTCGTCTTTAACACTATTTAAAACACGCAGTGTATTCGTTGCATTTCATTTCCCTGTAACGCTCTCTCCCTCCGTCTCTCTCTCAAATGCACGCACACACACAGCCCCTCCCCTCCGTGCAATGCACACCGCGTCTCTATGAAAACGAGGGTTCGATCAATGTTAAAAGCAAGTTCGCGAAAGGTTGGTATCTCATGATGAACATTTTACACAATCACACATTAAAAGGTGGTGTAAAAATATGTTAAATTCTTAATACAATTCTGTAAGTGTGTTAATGTCAACCCGAGAAGTGATTAAGCCTTCGTTAGAAAGTTACTGACTTGGTTGCAATTTTGAGGTAAAATGCTGCTGGGCAGTGGGCATGGCCGTGGCTAACCAGTCCGGACCTCGGCCATTTTTTTTTTACATTCAAAAATGGAATGGCATGATTGAATGATTATGTGAATGATTAATTAGCCATGTTTAGACCACCTGTGTGTTTGCAATTCATGTTGCAGCGAGAAGCTAGCGCAGTGAAGGGGGCTTGAGAACGCATTGTGAATGAGGGCGCTAGTGTAGCCTCTGTGTTGCCAGATCCACCTAATCGAATGGTGCGGTAATCTTCTGGACCTGTTTTTCGGATTTTTTGTGACACTTTAGGAAGTTATTATAGTGGAAAGTTGCATGTTAGTGTTAGTGATATATTAATCTTATTTCCAAAACACAAGCTTTGAAGTAATTTCGAATTGTTATTATATTATTTGCTTGTTTTTCGTAGCAATATCTGGCAACATTTTACTGTCTGCGTTAATAAAAAAAGCTTTTTTTTTATTGACAAACTGCAATTGCATAAGGCAAACACTCCAAACGCAATGATCATTGTGATTATCTGTAAAAACAATAGCATAATACAGATCTGTATGTTACAGAATAAAATTTGCCAAAATAACCTTACTGGCCAGCTGGAAGACAGCTCATGCTTTGTTAACGTTTCACATAGTCATCATAAATGCAATAATTAAAGTAGTGTTTCTCAACTAGCAATCTATTCAACTAGCAATTTATTTAGACCTACTTTTATTCTGTTTCTTTGCACAAAACTCTCCAGAAAGTGCCATTTAGTTAATATATGATATATATATATATATATATATATATATGGTAAATTCCTTTAAAAGAATCCCTTCATGTCCATGGGGAAATGTGGGTCCAATAGCCTAACCATTATTATATTACTAATTATTGTGAGGTAATTATTAACCATTATTACCTCACTAGTTTTCAGACCCTGGTTGCAGCCTTGCTGCTTGGTTGTCGGTGTCAAAACTCTATAAGCTGTGATTCAAATATTAAATAATGTTATGTCATTATTTTAATCTTACACTGACTGTTTGCTGCTTCTGTCCAGATTGTTGTATAGGGTAAATTTAGTATAAGGTGTGGAAATTGTAAAGCTGTGGGATTTTTTTATAGAAGATATCTAGATTGTTACGGTAAAGGATTTTCACATTGTAGGCTTCATTTTATGTACTGGTTTTAATGTTGAATAGATATTTCTAAAATTGTATGATGTTTTTGTTGAGTTATTGTTACACAATTCTTTTCCTGACCTTTTTCAACCTTGCCCCTGACAAATAACCCAAACTACAAAAAAAAGACTAAAACTAACACTAAAACTAATAAAAACTAAACTAAAACTAAGCATTTTCAAAAAATAGAAACTAAACTAAACTAGCAAACCCACTTTTAAAACTAATTAAAACTAAACTGAATTTGAAAACAAAAATTCAAAACGAAATAAAAATAAAAACTAATGAAAAATGCAAAACTATAATAACCTTGCTTGCAAGTGAAGAAATTAGAAGAAAAAAAATCTCCCCAATGTAGCATAAATTACTATTATTATTATCGGCTAATGGCCAATATTACCATCATACTTTGTCAAAAAAAATAAAATAAAATAAATAAATAAACTCTAAAATGAACTTTGCATGCATTCCTGTTGTACATTAGAGTCTCCTGTTTGAAATCTGCATGAACGGATGAAATGTAAGGCTTTTGGATCTTTGGATAAGAGTCTGAACTCGGCGGCTCAAAGCTACATTAATATGCTGTTGAATTCTTGAATACTGTATTTAAGCATATTATACTTGCACATTAGAGCTTTAAAGTGATTTGTGCATTAACTTTGCATTTCTGTCACGCATGTTCTGTGATAGGGAAATACCTAATAGCAATGTAAAAAAAATGCAGGGTTGTTTTAACCCTAATTTGGGTCAAAAATGGGCAAACCCAGTCGTTGGGTTGAAATTTTAAATTACATTTACAGTTGGGTTCGTTTATATTTGACCCAAATTTAGGTTAAAACAGCCCAGTATTCTTCAGAGTGTATGAGAGTGTATGAGTGCTGATGTCTGTGTCTCTCAGTGCTCAGGATCAAGGAGTTATTAACAACAGTGCTGATGTTGGGTGTGTGTGTGTGTGTGTGTGTGCAGGTCCCTCCGGAGCGAACACACACTGTACTCACACACTGAAGGCTCACACTCCTGCAGGAAACACTCCAGGATCACACGGGCCAGGAGCGCCGGGGACAGGTCCACCTGACGAACACAGAGATTAACACTCATTACCGACACTCCTCGACCCCGCCTCCGAGGACTCACCTCCTCCACCTCCAGTATCAACACTACACTGATGATTTCATTCATTGTGGTTAAAAAGAGAATCCTACGATTTAACTGCCTATCATCAAGTCCCATAAACAATTAAAAAGTAAAATTTCAGGTCCTCTCATGTGACAACAGAAGTAATTTATTCCATTTTTAAATATGTTATCGATAAAACCAAAAAAATATATCATTTTTGATACTTTTTATGCAGTGAAATTCTACAGTCATTAACAAACATGCATGTAAGCAATACCTAGGTTTGCAGAATTAGTAATATTACTGTATGCACTACTGTATTAATAATACTGCAGTGCTTATTATTAATAGTGTGAGTTCTTTCTTTTGCACTTTTCTTTTTCTTTGTATTGTATAAAGTTGGGGTCCAACAGGTCGAAGGTCAGATGTGAGTTTCAAAGTCTCGACACGATCCAGCCGAGGAATAAGAGTCTGATCTAGACAAACCAGCCGATATTTACAACAAAACACACATTTATATACTTTAACCACTAATGCTGGTCTTGCTCTCGCTGTGATGCGACACAATTGAACAACTTAAATGGTAAAAAAACCCAGAATTTGAGTAATGAATGGAAGCCGTATCATAATTTCCCATGAGATGTGTGTGAATCACACGGTTAAACCCAGTGTGGCGGCGATGAGTGTGTGTGTGTGACCTTTCACTGGTCAGTGGTAACAGTAACATCATTCACACGGGCTCTCGCGTTCACGACGCGACCGATGGCCAACGCTTAACAAGAGCAGATATTACCCACTGACCTCCCTGTCAATAACACACCAGACGCGTTTATAAACCGCACTTATGATAATAACACTCAACTCTTCCTCCATGAAGGATAATTGCACGAAATCATTGGTTAATAGACTGAACCATTAGTCCAATTTGTGTAAGTACTAACAGACTGGGAAACCTCCAAATGAATCTTTTGGGTTAATTATGTTTGTGCACAAGTCATTACCTGGTTGGCGAGCTCCAGCAGAACCGGGTCTGTGGGACGAGTCCGGGCTTCGCTCCGGTATCTTCATTACACACACACACAACACACACAACAACAACAGGGAGGAACGTCAACAAATGAGAAGAGAAGACAACAAGAGCAGACCAGCCAGAACATGCCGGAGTCCCTGATGGGCTCAGACTCAGCCGAACCATTCATTAGCCTGAAACCACAAACCCCTCACACACACACACACACACACACCAGCCGCTCTTAACCACAGATAACCACACACACACAACAATCGGCTCCTGTAGATTTTTGTCAGACGGCAGATCGTTGAACTATGATAACGTCAGCATAGCTTAGCTGGCTAACAATCCTTCAGGAATCACCGGCTTGTTGAACTATGCTAACGCGAGCGTAGCTTAGCTGGCTAACGATGCTTCGGGAAACACCGACTCGTTGAACCATGATAACATGAGCATAGCTTAGCTGGCTAACAATGCTTCGGGAAACACCGACTTGTTGAACTATGATAACGCGAGCGTAGCTTAGCTGGCTAACGATGCTTCGGGAAACACCGACTCGTTAAACCATGATAACGCGAGCGTAGCTTAGCTGGCTAACGATGCTTCGGGAAACACCGACTCGTTGAACTATGATAACGCGAGCGTAGCTTAGCTGGCTAACAATGCTTCAGGAATCACCGGCTTGTTGAACTATGATAACACGAGCATAGCTTAGCTGGCTAACGATGCTTTGGGAAACACCGACTCGTTGAACTATGATAACACGAGCATAGCTTAGCTGGCTAACGATGCTTTGGGAAACACCGACTCGTTGAACTATGATAACGCGAGCGTAGCTTAGCTGGCTAACGATGCTTCGGGAAACACCGACTCGTTGAACCATGATAACACGAGCATAGCTTAGCTGGCTAACGATGCTTCGGGAAACACCGACTCGTTGAACCATGATAACGCGAGCGTAGCTTAGCTGGCTAACGATGCTTCGGGAAACACCGACTTGTTGAACTATGATAACGCGAGCGTAGCTTAGCTGGCTAACGATGCTTCGGGAAACACCGACTCGTTAAACCATGATAACGCGAGCGTAGCTTAGCTGGCTAACGATGCTTCGGGAAACACCGACTCGTTGAACTATGATAACGCGAGTGTAGCTTAGCTGGCTAACAATGCTTCAGGAATCACCGGCTTGTTGAACTATGATAACACGAGCATAGCTTAGCTGGCTAACGATGCTTTGGGAAACACCGACTCGTTGAACCATGATAACACGAGCATAGCTTAGCTGGCTAACGATGCTTTGGGAAACACCGACTCGTTGAACTATGATAACGCGAGCGTAGCTTAGCTGGCTAACGATGCTTTGGGAAACACCGACTCGTTGAACCATGATAACACGAGCATAGCTTAGCTGGCTAACGATGCTTCGGGAAACACCGACTCGTTGAACTAATTAAATGATTTGATTTGAACCTTTGATTTGACTAACTAAATGCAGTCATTTCAACATTTACCAACACGTTATTAAAACCAAAGGTTGTGTTTGTTCACATTAGTTAATGCACTGTGAACTAACATGAACACACAATCAGCAGCTGGATTTATATTAACTAACATTAATAAAGATGAATAAACACTGTAACTAATGTTTTGCTCATGGTTAGTTGATGTTAGTTAACACATTATCTAATGTTAACTAATGAACCTGATTGTAAAGTGTTACCAATGTTATTCAATAACGAGACTATTTATTTACTTAAAAATCTAAATGAATGAGCAGATAATGAAGGACAATCATCATCACTTGATCTTCCTCCACTAGTGTTTAAAGCTTCCCATGATGCACCTGAGGAAAGCAGAGCTGCAAAGAATGTCTTAGATAATTCTCAACATTAGTGTTGTATTATGTGTTTTGTGCATTGTGAATGAGCTGTATGTTATAACACCAATGAAAAATCTCTATTTTTCACATATTTATCACTTTCCATCATGTATGAGAAGAGCGGTGTCTCACCTCTGATAGTATCCTTTAACCACGTCAGGAGCGTGATGTCTCGCACAGCTGCGCTTCGTCCTCTTCTGAAACACACAGCACAGCTGAAGCGGATCACACTCGTGCATCCATCATGTAAATACACTGTGTTGGGACCCTTATTCATCGTCTGGTGTCATTTAAAGACATTTGAAGCTGCATCTGAAACTGTTATTAACCGTCTTTTGGACCTCGGACCGTCTGGTTCCCATTGAAGTCCATTATAAGGAGAAAAATCCTGGAATGTTTTCATCAAAAACCTTAATTTCTTTTCGACTGAGGAAAGAAAGACATGGACATCTTGGATGACACGGGGCGAGTAAATTATGAGCAAAAGTTTTCAAAAGTGAACTAATCCTTTAAGGAATCGTTCGGTTTGTATGCGTACCGAACCAAAAGTTGAAATGCACCCATGAGTTGTATTTAATATCAATCTGTTGTGGGAAGTTCATCTAAAAGTGAACTTGAGTGTTTTTTGTTTACTATATTTTGAAATAGTTTACCAAATAAATAATTTACCAAATAAAATAAAAGTAAAACAAGGTGACATACTTTTCATTTCTAAAGTATTTGGGTTTATTTATTATACAAAGCCCTTTTTGTCGATTTTTTTTTTTTTGAGGATAACTACATAAATAACTATATCGTGAAATATATCGTTACCGTGAAATAAAATTAGTCATATCGTGAAACACAATTTTGGTCATATCGCCCACCCCTACCATTCATTTGCATATTCATTCTTTTTCTCACGTGAATAGGGTAAAAAATTTAACCTTTAGATACCGTCATGAAAATCACTGAGTTGATCACTTACATCAAGACAAACAAAAAATGTATTACAAGTTTTTTTGCTATTGTTTGTAAACATGGACAAACGGTGCATAATATAATTACATATGTGCTCATTTGCATAAATACCCAAACAGATCTAAACATTGGGTATATAGCAGGTGAAAATGTCTTGTAGAATTTTGTTGACATATAACAGTAAAAGACTTAATGTTAAGGTCATGCAATTTGTTCAACATTTTTTTCATAAAATGACTGGACTACACTGAGTCTGAACGGTCTGATCTACAGTTTAGATTTATTTTTACACTGATCATCTGGCATTTTGAGTTTGGAAGCAGTGTTGTAGTACTGGAGACTCGGACTCGTCTCGGACTCGGACTCGAGACCATATTTTAATGGTCTTGGTCTTGTCATGGACTCGTGTGCATTTGGACTCGGAATTGACTCGTACTCGAACATTTTTTTTTTAAGACTCGGACTTATTCCCGAGTCCACTCGAGTTCAATTAAAAATATTTTTCATGATTATTAATGTATGTTAATAAAATATTTCTTTAAATTGATTGACACGCCCAGTGATTGGTGATTTTCTAGTGCGCAACTGCGCATGACAAATTGTAATAAAATTACTTTTAACACCACCTACTATGTGGCCTTTTTACCCTAAACTGATCATATTTTTTAAACTCTAAGTAAATTCAGTAAAAAAAAAAAAAAAAAAGTATTTCTCTAAGTAAATAAAAGTAAATTAGGTAATCAACCCTCACTGGTCTCGGTCTCGACTCGGACTCGACTCTCTATGGACTCGGTCTTGACTCGGACTCGACTCTCTCTGGTCTCGGTGTCGACTCGGACTCGAGTGAGGTGGTCTTGACTACAACACTGGTTTGGAATTACTACTTTTATTCAGCAAGGACGCATTTAACTGTTCAAGTGACGATTATAATGTTACAAAAGATTATAATTTAAAATAAATGCTGTTCTTTCGAACTTTCTATTCATCAAAGAATCCAGAAACGAAATGTATAATGATTTCCACAAAAATTTTAAACACTGATTATAATCATAAATATTTCTTGATCATCAGATCCTCATATTAGAGTGATTTCTGGAGGATCATGTGACACTGAAGACTGGAGTAATGATGATCACAGGAATAAATTACACTTTACTGTATATTCACATTAAAAACACAGTTTTACTGTATTTTTGATCTAATAAATGCAGCCTTGGTGAGCAAGAGACTTTCAAAACATGAAAAATCGTAATGAAATGCAAGACAACCCGCGTCCGGCACCAGATGTGTGTGTGTGTGTAGAAGTGTTCATACCCTGTGCTTTCAGCCTCATTCATTTCCTGTTCTTCTAAACTACAAGCTCTCTCGCTTTGCTGCGTAATGCGATTCGGTGGCGTCTCGACCCGAGGACGCTTAAAAACAACTTATTTAAAAACTACAGGAGTGATTCTGCTGAGACACTGGAGTGAGTGACAGCCGTCAGACGGATGATGAATGGCTCTATTCTGAGCCGCCGTAACCGTGGCCATCGATCATCGTCGCTGTCAGATGAGGAAAGCGCTCGCGACAGCGCGAGTCAGCAAACATTTAGCACACGGACCCGCGCCACACCGGGAAATTATTATTGTCAGAATAATAATGGTTTAGCATAATTTATTACAGGTCCGGCAAATAAGCAGCGGCTCGATGTTATTAGACAGATGGAGAGGCCGGGTTGGCAGAGGTCCACTCACTGTGTGTGTGTGTGTGTGTGTGTGTGGGTCGGGGGGGGGATCCTCCAAACCAATCAGAGAGTTGGCAGTTCAATTACACAGAAATAAGGGGACATTCATCATTCAATTAGGCAGCTGTCAGGCCACACAAAGGAGGAAAACTTCTAACCTGGTACTCCTGGGAGAAGATGCTCAGAAGAGTGGACGGGGGAAGACTGCAACAAATAAAAGAAGGACAAAGTTAATTACCAGAGTGCATCGCACGCAGACAAAGAGAGAGAGAGCGAGCCGGAGAGCAGTGCTTTAAAGCCTGTAATCTGCAGGAACACGGGAACGAGTGTGGCGGAGCGGTTGCGGATGAGCGCTTCGATACGCAGGACAGCATCTGGGTGAGATGAGACGCATATAAGTGTCCTCGCGTGTGATTGGCTGTTGTGTCAGGTGAACACAACACACCTTTAGACCCCGAGCGTTCACTCCATCGCAGGAACAAAAGCACACGCTGGACAGGAGAAGATGAGCTTGTAGTTCGGGGGACTCTGGATATACTCGCACCTTCATTTCGCAATTTTTATTACAGTAGGAGTGTCACGATTCGACACTGAACTCACGATACACCATATCACTGCAAGATAAAAGGTGAAGAATAAAATGATTAAATGCTAAATGTGATGTATGAGATTGTGTGTGTGAATGAACAGGCTTGGACTTGGTGCTGAAACCCAATAGAGACACCAGAATAACAATATTCATGATTCTGAAGCTGAAAACACTGAATTATTGGAGATGAATATGATGATCTCTGTCACTGACTAGATATATTTACAATAATGTCGGACACACACACACATATTCCCCCACTGCATTACTATACATTATATTCTACATTATATACTGCAGTTCTCACAATAAAACTCGGAAAACTAAACATTTTATCAAAGTATTTTTTTTTATTTTTGGTGAATTATACACAAAACACATATTGATGCATTTTTTATGTTGCGATATATTGGTACACCCCTAGTATTTAGGAATCCACCAATATAAACATTTTGGCAGATACGATAACCGATAATTCGTTATATTTGAGATACGATAACCGATAATTCATTATATTTGAGATACGATAACCGATAATTTGTTATATTTGAGATATGATAACCGATAATTTGTTATATTTGAGATACGGTAACCGATAATTCATTATATTTGAGATACGATAACCGATAATTCGTTATATTTGAGATACGATAACCGATAATTCGTTATATTTGAGATACGATAACCGATAATTTGTTATATTTGAGATACGATAACCGATAATTTGTTATATTTGAGTTATATTTGAGATACAATAACCGATAATTCGTTATATTTGAGATACGATAACTGATAATTCGTTATATTTGAGATACGATAACCGATAATTCGTTATATTTGAGATACGATAACCGATAATTCGTTATATTTGAGATACGATAACCGATAATTCGTTATATTTGAGATATGATAACCGATAATTTGTTATATTTGAGATACGATAACCGATAATTCGTTATATTTGAGATACGATAACCGATAATTCGTTATATTTGAGATACGATAACCGATAATTTGTTATATTTGATATACGATAACCGATAATTTGTTATATTTGAGTTATATTTGAGATACAATAACCGATAATTCGTTATATTTGAGATACGATATCCGATAATTGTTATATTTGAGATACGAAAACCGATAATTCGTTATATTTGGAAGCCGATAACCGATATATTGGCCGATAAATCTAAATCCAAGTTTTATATAATTTTTGAGAGCCTGATTACATAAACAAAAGTCGTGTCCCATTATGATGTTCTCATTGTAATTGAGACATTTCTGCACAGCATCATGGGTAATGTCGTTTTTCTCCACAAATTCCGCTGTTATACATGATTATATAAACAATAATGTGAACGAGTGGTTTCAACAGATGCATATAAATTCGATTGAAATCAGTTTAATTTTTTCCCAAATTCCGTCCCATTCCCATACTCAATTTTAATGGTTAAATCAAGTTTAAGTAATCAAAAAGCATGTCTAATACATTATATTCTACATTATATACTGCAGTTCTCACAATAAAACTCTGAAAACTAAACATTTTCGAATTGAATTATACACAATACATATTGATGCATTTCTGTATTGTGATATATTGTGACACCCCTAGTATTACATGGATTGCATTTAAGAATTTTAGAAATTTAACGCTTTCACCTGTAAAAGAAAACCTGCTTAATAATAACACACATCTGAATATAAAGCGTTTTCCTTTCCAGCCCATCTTAACAACTACATACACTTATGAATGACTATATACAAATTGAATAGTAGTAGTTATTAAGATTGATGTGGTTTGGAATTGGTAAAATGTGCTTGAATAAAAAAGGAGGCTCAGTATATGGACTCGCCTGATAATTGTGTGTGCCCTAATCACATCAAATCAAAAGCCATAAATTAGTTTATTGAAATATATCTGAGGCGGTTATAATCATTTAATGCAGATCCGAAGCCTTAGCGAGAGCATCAACGCCGGTTTCCGTGGACGTGAACAATCCTGGAAGAAAACCTGCTATAATTAATACAGTAACCCTGACTCAGAGATTGGGCTCTATATGAGTTCAGTGACTCAGGTCAAATGATTGTGAAATGATGATTGTGTTAAAACATAACAAACACCATCAGATCACCTTTTATATTTGTTCATCAGGCTGTTATAATTCAGGAACAGCAGCCAAACAAAACCTAGGGTCAAGAGCCCAACTAAAACAAACACTGATCACCATAATGGTGATTTAAAATTACAGTTTTCTCCTTCAGTGATTCGGCTTGTTAACATCAGGTGTCTTCAATGTTGGCAATATAAAATAAAAAGTTCTTAATTCATCTTTGACGTCTGTCTCAGATATTTTTGTTGAATTAATTTTTTAAATGATTAACTTAAGGAATTAATTTGATTAATTATTACTCAATTCTAATTTGTTGAATTTAATTAATAATCTGTTAAAAGTGTGTTATTTGCATGCTTAAGCGTGTATACTGTATGAACATCACAGGTGAGCGCTTCTCCTCGGTCCTGATTGGACAGAACGAGCTGAAACCCAAAGAGCCACATCATCTGATTCTGTCGTGCCATAAAAAGTTCTGGAAATACAACTTTATTCAACTTTTTTAATATACTAATAATTGTTGATGATGTAAGAAAGTGAAAAGTTGTCATTTATGTTATTGACTTAACTATAAAACCAAATATTCAGTTATCTATGGAAGCCTGTTTCCACCACACAATAAAAAAATAAACACGTTTTATCTCAGAATTCTGACTTTTTTTCTCACAATTGCGAAATATAAAGTTGAAATTGCGAGTAAAAGTCAGAATTGCGTGATATAAATTGTGAGTTTATACCTCACAATTCTGACTTTATAACACGAAATTGCAAATTTATATCTTGCAATTGTGAATCTATATCTTGCAATTATAAATTTATAGCACGCAAACACTTTATGTCCTACTTCAACACAAAAAAAGTGGCAAATTAGTGGTCCCCTGCCGCCATCTACTGGTTATAGTGGTAATTTTGCGTCTTTTTATTTTTAAATAAAAGTATTAGTTTTCCGACATCTTGAAACTTTTAGTTTTACAAAAAGAGAGAGCAAAACAGCGCTCGCTCGTGTTGTTTGAAGACGTGAAGGAGCGCACGGCCGCGGCACAACTCACTTTCTGGAGGTATACTGCCCCCATCTGGTATGGAATATGGAATATGATTTGATTTCATGTGCCACATGGCACCTTTAAATAACCAATCAATTAATTCAATTTATTAAATCGACACTAAAATAAACATTTAAAGTCCCCCTCTAGTCAATCATTTTATTCCTTAAAACTTCTTTGATCACAAAAATTACTTATTTAAAGTTTTTCCTTTAAAAATAAATTATTCTCGCCTCAAAAAGCGTGAATGTAACTCGACACCCTTGCATCATTTAGTATTTACAGTTCTATGAATATGCAAATGAGCCCCGCCTCCACTCACTCACTCACAGCAGTGTTTGGTTCACTGCAGTTTAAGGAGGAAATACTCAGCAATGCTGTCGACTTATGAACTTACACATGGTTTGTCTTAAAGCGCATCAAACACAACACATACACAACATTAAACGTTGAATTTACACCACAGAGAGACTTTAAAGGGTTAGTTCACCCAAAAATGAAAAAAAAATGCTTGAATTAAAACAAAAATAACAACTTTATTTGACTATTTCTTTTCTTTCTTTCTTTTCTTTCAGATGAGAGTTCAAGAGTTTTGCGATCTTATTCTGCGACTTCTTGTTCAGTTCTCACGCATGTGTCGTGGAAATCTCTTGAACTCTCGTCTCAGGCCCAGAAGAAAGAAAAGAAATAGTCGTATAAAGTTCGTTATTTTTGTTTGTTTGGTTTTTTTCCAAACAAAAAGTATTCTCGCCGATTTATAAACTTATAGTTGAGCCACTGTAGTCACATGAAATATTTAAACATTTTTTTCAATGACTTTCTGGACCATCAAGTTTCGATCCCTTAGGAGCCTATGTGGCAGTGATCCACCTCTCAGATTAATCAAAAATATCTTCGTTTGACTTCCAAAGATGAACGAAGGTCTTATGGGGTTGGTACAGCATGAGGGTGAGTACTGTAATTAATGACTTAATCTTCATTTTTGGGTGAACTAACTCTTTAATTTGCTTTATTTAGCTATGTCTCTACTCTAATTTGTAGCTTTTTTTGTCCGATTTATGAACATATATTATTTAATTAATTAATAAACATTAATAGCAGGTGTAATCAATGTATTGATCCCTCAAGAAATGAGTTCTGAAAGCTTTTCAAATCTTCATATCGATATGCATATATATTTTTTAAATGCAAGTACAAAAGAGAAAGAAAAAAAACATAACCAATCCAAACAAAACATGTAGGCAAGTGAAGCAGCAGAGGGGTTTGACCAGTTATGTTAATCATATGCCAACAAAAAAATTTCTTGATGTGAAGCTGCAAAATCTGAAACTAAAAAGTGAGAGAGAAGAAAACATGCGAGCCCAATCTGTCGGCTCAGTATTAGCAGTGCGTCCGGGTGAACAAAGAGGAGGACCAGCGTGAAGATCAGAGAGCATTCCAGTCACAGGCTTCATT